GTGTGTGTGTGTGTCTTGCTCTGTGTGTGTGGTCTTGCTCTGTGTGTGTGTGTTTTGCTCTGTGTGTGTGTGTGTTTTGCTCTGTGTGTGTGTGTGTGTTTTGCTCTGTGTGTGTGTGTGTTTGCTCTGTGTGTGTGTGTGTGTTTTGCTCTGTGTGTGTGTGTCTTGCTCTGTGTGTGTGTGTGTGTGTCTTGCTCTGTGTGTGTGTGTCTTGCTCTGTGTGGTGTGTCTTGCTCTGTGTGTGTGTTGTGCGCTGCGGGTCGTCAGGTGGTGGATGTGCGCTTGGTGTCGGTGTTTGACGCCCGGGAGCTGGAGCTGGTCATCGCAGGAACAGCGGAGATCGATCTGACTGACTGGAGGAACAACACAGAGTACAGAGGAGGTACGAGGCAGAGGCCTTCCGCACCTTTCAGATCAACCACACTCTGCAGTTTTAAATAGATGCTTCAAAATGTGCATCATTTTTTACATTTTCTTTAATTTATATTTCTGATTTTTTTATCTTTAATTCAGTTTTTATTACATTTTTTGCATTTATATTTTCATAATTTAAATTTTAATTATTTTCTGTTATTATTGTTGTCAGGCTGATGGACTACAGATGGTTTTTATGTAGATTTTTAGTTGAAATGTTTGATGCAGCAGCAGTCATGACTCAGCATCATCTCTGCCTCAGGTTACCATGACAACCACATGGTGGTCCGCTGGTTCTGGGCGGCTGTGGACCGGTTCAACAACGAGCAGAGGCTGCGGCTGCTGCAGGTAGGAGAGGTGCTGCCCCCTGGTGGAGGGACTGGCACAGCGGGGGGACTGCGTTCCATAACAGACTTTTATTGTTATAGTTGCTAAATATTATTGTTATGGGACATTGAGAGGAAACTAATCTGGACTTTATCACAGCTGCTGAGGCTTTTATTAATAAAAACAGATCAGCTGAATTAATTTAGAGTTTCTACCTTAAACTTCCAGCAGGATTAAGATGCAAACTATTAAAAGATATAAATGATATTTTAATCTGTGAAGTGGGTCACTAGTTTCTCTCTACATGATTTTGAACAATAAACCTGCAGCGTTTCCTTTTCTCTGAGGTTTTGGGTACAGCTGATTGTTTGACATCCAGTTGATCATGAAATCTTGATGTTGAACTCTGATCAGATGAATGATGGTGTCTGATTTCCTCCTGACGGTCCGGTCGACCCGGTTCTACTAGAACCAGAACTCCATCATCTGCTCCACCTCCAGCTGCTGTGGTTCTGAGTCCAACCAGCCTGTTCCCCTCCTGGCCTGTGGGGGCGCTGCACCAACAACCACTGCAGGAAACGACACTAAAACCTCTGAAGACGCTGAGAGCAACTTCCTGTTTCACCAGATGAACCAAGATGGAGGCGTCAGAGTTTAGTGATTTCTCTTTAGTCTTTGGCTGAAGACCAGGAGCCATTTCTGCTGCTAACGCTAGGCTAACACGTTGCCTTTGGCTGGATTTACCCAGAATGCCCTGCACTGTAGTCCACTTCCTGCTTTTGGAGCGCTCTCTGGTCCTCATGGCGTTCACATTCAAACTGAACCCAGACCTGGAGGACCAGAGGTCAGAGGTCGACCAGCATCAACACCTCACAGCAGGACCGGACTTTGACTAGGCAGTCAGTTTAAAGCGGAGTGATTGATGCGGCCTTTGTGTGAATCCCCCGTTTGTTCAGCAGCTGACGGTTTTCCTGTTTCTGCTGCAGTTCGTGACGGGAACGTCGAGCGTTTACGAAGGCTTCGCCTCGCTGCGCGGAAGCAACGGACCGCGCAGGTTCTGCGTGGAGAAATGGGGGAAGATCACGTCTTTACCCAGGTGAGGAGAGAGAGACGCTGCCCAGGCAGCTCTCCTTCAGGAGGATCATCTTATTCTCCACTTAAATAAACGTTGAACATGAAAGTTTCAGAAAGTAGAAGTGGAATTTTGACTCTTTTCTCTGAATTATCGGGCAGCTAAATGGAAATATTTCATATCTCAGTTTTTATTTTCACATTAAACAACCAACCACAGTTCAGACTGGTTTCCTGTTTAAGCCCCGCCCACCAGCTCTGATTGGTCCAGGGTTATTTCCTTTGGCTTCCTGTGATGTCAGAAGGTTCTGGAGGTGATTCTGACCTTGTTAGAACAAGCAGCCCAGATCCTCACCATGCCGACTCCAACCGGACCTGTGGCCCGGTTCTGCTGCTCCCAGTTCGTCAGGTTTCTGCTCCAGTGTTCGCTTCGGGTTTCCTTTGACCCTGTTGACCTTTAGCAACGAAATGTTAGCTGGTTCTGTGGTCGGACCCGATGGTTCTGAGACTGTTGGTCAGCTTTTTGGGTGTTTCTGTTCATTTAGCCTCAGGAGAAGCTGCCTGATAACTTGAGGTTGCAGTTCATCCATTCATCCCTCGTTTATCTGTTGGCTCATTCAGTTCAGCCTTTTGGTTTCTCTGTTGGTTTGTGGCACCGTCTCTCCGTCTCCCTCAGGGCTCATACCTGCTTCAACCGGCTGGACCTGCCTCCCTACCCGTCTTTCTCCATGCTGTATGAGAAGCTGGTGACGGCCGTGGAGGAGACCAGCACCTTCGGTCTGGAGTAGCGTCTGGAAACCTGTGGTCCGTTGAGGAGAATCAGAGAAGAAACAGACGGCGCACCAACCTGCTGCTCCTCAGTCGCTCCGGTTTCTGAGGAGACGGAACCAGAACCGCTGGATGTTGTAAAGTTTCTCGTTTCATGTGAACCCGTTTCTGTCACTGAGCCACATGTGTGCTTTATCTCAGCAGCCGCTCTGGCCGACCTTCACTCTGGGGTCACCTGCACTCACTCACCTGTTCGCACAAACCGGACCGCCTGGAGGACGGGCCGGGTCTGATGGGTTTGGTTCTGGAGAGCCGGTACTTTCCACACCTTTCTGACGAGCAATACTTCCACTTCCTTCTAACAGATGACATCACTTCCCACGTGGTGGCGAATGTACCAAACCTGCGGCTGAATGTACGAGTCCAGAACTCCAGAAGGTTCTGGACGGCTGGAGCTGGACGGGCCGGAGTCAGAAACACAGTGAATGCCATAATAAATATTACCTGGATCTGTTCAGTCCTTGAATGAGGTCAAAGGTTCTCAGCTTTGTGACCGAGTTCTGGTTCTGGTCCAGCTCAGTTCTGCTGGGTTTGGATCCAGGTTCTGCTGATGACCCAGTTCAGACCCAGCGCAGCTGCAGTGGTGGGCACGCTCCCACTAATGTGCTACATGCAGATCGGTTCTCTTTTAGTGCTTTTGCTAACTTTCAATATGTTTAGCACAGTTAGCTTATGCTAAGCTAAGTTTTTCAGATAAACTCCAAAGTGATGGTTTACTGGGTTTAATAAAGTTATCGACTGTTAAGAATTGTTCACGTAGCAGCAGTTTGTTTCTTTTCTGTTTATGATTAGCGCAGCGGCATTAGCTTCTGCTAAATCACATGTTGGTATAATGATTCTGTATTAGCTGAACTTGTGTTTATGATTAGCATGAGCTTCTGCTAAACACCCTGTTGATGTAGCGCTTTAGTGTTAGCTTCTGCTAAGAATCACATCGTTACAGCTCTGAAGCATTAGTGGAAGTAACAGCTGAGTTAGCGTTGCCCACCACTGAACAGCTGCTCCTGAGGTCACTACTGATGTTCTTCCATTTTGGTGTTGTGCTAAGCTACCCTCCAGAGCTGCAGCTAGCAGGGCTAACACACCATAGCGCTTCATAGCTGCAGCTAGCTGGGCTAACACACCTGGGTGCTCCAGAGCTGCAGCTAGCTGGGCTAACACACCAGGGTGCTCCAGAGCTGCAGCTAGCTGGGCTAACACACCTGAGCGCTCCAGAGCTGCAGCTAGCAGGGCTAACACACCATAGCGCTTCATAGCTGCAGCTAGCTGGGCTAACACACCTGGGTGCTCCAGAGCTGCAGCTGGGCTAACACACCAGGGTGCTCCATAGCTGCAGCTAATTGGGCTAACACACCATAGCGCTTCATAGCTGCAGCTAGCTGGGCTAACACACCTGGGCGCTCCAGAGCTGCAGCTGGCTGGGCTAACACACCAGGGTGCTCCAGAGCTGCAGCTAGCTGGGCTAACACACCTGGGCGCTCCAGAGCTGCAGCTAGCTGGGCTAACACACCATAGCGCTCCAGAGCTGCAGCTAGCTGGGCTAACACACCTGGGCGCTCCAGAGCTGCAGCTAGCTGGGCTAACACACCATAGCGCTCCAGAGCTGCAGCTAGCTGGGCTAACACACCATAGCGCTCCAGAGCTGCAGCTAGCTGGGCTAACACACCATAGCGCTCCAGAGCTGCAGCTAGCTGGGCTAACACACCTGGGCGCTCCAGAGTTGCAGCTAGCTGGTGCGTCTGACCTGTTGATGACCTTTGGCCAGATGTTGCCTGATCCTCTCCGCCTCTTCAGCCCGGATGTTTCTGTGAAGCTCAGCTGAATTTCTGGATGTGAGGATTGTTTTTGTCCCAGTGCCTCTGATGGTTTCCTCTTCCTAACTGGGACACCTGTCTTCAGTGAAACGCTGCTCTTTGTCCAAAATGTAAGATAAGACATCTGTCTGTCCTCCCGCTGGAGACGCTGCATGTTAGATCTACGGAAGCCTGTTGGAGTCAGACCACAGGAGCCGCGGTGGTTTCACTTTCCTCCCAGTGCTCCCAGTCCAATCCTGCATGCAGGGTCTGTCCGGTGCGGCTCCGTGAGCTGCTCCTGGCAGTGACCACTTGGTGGCGCTGTGTTATAGCTCCATATTGCATGTTGAAGTAGTTCTAGCTCCTGTGCATGAGGATTCCTGCTCTCCATTGACGGATTTGGGTCGGTTCGGGTCGGCCCGCCGGGCCAGCATGGTTCTGAACCGTCTATCTTAGTAATGAGCTGACTGGACCGGGGTTCGGAGAACCGTGTACAGAACCATGAGTCTGTGTGTAAGTCTGTCTGTCTGTCGTGTGAAAATATGTCCGTTTTGCACCGATTGTACCAAAGGTTCGGGCCTGGCGGAGCGGACCGGGAGGCCGGTTCTGGTCCGGTCCGACTCATCTCACCTCTGGGTTCATGTCTGGGGAACTTTGTGCATGAGGAGCTTCAGGTTCCGGTCGGACCTGGAGGTTCTGGAACATTTCCCTCCGGACCCGGACGCACTTTTCAGATCTCCACTCTATGCAAGGCGCCTGTATGTTTGTCTCCATTTCACTGAGATTGTAATAAAGAAACAGGAGGAGCATTTGATAGGACAGGCGGCTCTTCTTCTACTGTTTACCATCATAACCTGTCATTTTCCTTCTCTTTGTCTTTTCTAGCTGAATGTTTGAAGAATTAAAATCCAAACAAATACTCTTAAAAAATAGTCAAAACTAAATTTACAACTAAATATTCTTTAAAGCAAAACAAAAGGTTCAAAGAGGGAGCAACAGGTTGACTGAAACAAAATATTAAAAACATGAATTTATGTACAGAGGAGCCCAGACTGGACAAAACACAAGAGTCGAAATAATTCATAAATTTACTCAAGTAGAAATCAAAGAAATGACTCGAGTCAGAAAGTATTTGGTAAAAAGTACTGATAACTCAAGTTATCAATCATTTAATATTTGATCAGCAGACGGACCAAAATATAAAGTTAAAGTTTTGGTATTTTAGGGATCAAAATGAAAATAAAATCAGAAGAAAATGTTTCTCATTGAGTTTCGCTGCAGGTCTGAATGTTTCTGTTTTCCTCAGATATGAAATCAATGAGGTAAAAGTACGTTTCTAAAAAAGTTACTCAAGTAAAAGGAACTAGTTACTCTGAGAAGATTTAAATACTGGACCTGCAGGTCAGAGCTCAATGCTCACAATGCTTCATCGGTTCAGCTGAATATGTCTGGACTTTGACTAGGCCTTCATTTAGTTTCTTTGAGCCTTTTGGATCTTTGGGATCCAAAAGGCTTTTCTGTACGTCTTTCAGTGACGCACAGAACCGCGACCTGCTGCTCAGGTGGACTTACTTTAGAACCTACATAGAACCGGGCTCAGGAGTCACAATGAGAGCAGAAACATGTTTAACAAAGTCATGACTGAAAGGAACAAAAGACCTGCTGAGATTTTCAACAAAAAAATAAATTGAAATGTTTCTTCATTGAATTTGAACTTTGATGAGTTACATTTAAAATTTTAGATTTTACTGTTTGTGTTGAATTATAAACCTGGTTATTATAAATTATAAAAGCAAAACAAAATCCATGATGTGTGTATTATAATTCAAGAGGTCAGCTAATTCCCATATGACTTGGGAAAGTGTTTATTTTTGACTTATTTTAAAACACTACATCATAGGTCATGACCCATTTCTTTATACCAAATACTGTTAATTTTTACTTCAGTAGTTTCTTGGGTGTAATGATACTTTGAAGTCGTACTATTTTTACTTGAGGTCAATTTTTACTTTCCCATCATGTTTGTAAAGATCAGCAGGAATGGAAAGACATTTGCTGGATGAGTCGGATCCCGGGAAGGAAACGGAATTCCCACGGCTGTTCGAAAGAAAACTGTTGAAACTTTTAGCCAAACACGCCAGTGCGCATGCGCCGCAGTGGAGTGACGTGTCTGAACCATGTCAAACGGGATGTAAAAATGATCGAAAAGACTCCGGATAAACAAACAAACCAGGTGAACAGGAGCCAGAACCAGCCGTCCGGATCGCTTCACAGCCAGGTGGGTTCGCCAAGGCGGAGCCGAGAGGAACCGAACCGCTCGAACTCACTTTTGGACCGGATGCTTTAGAAGTAGTCGAGCTAACTTGGCGACCGTTGGCTAACCGGAGTGAACCCGCAGCTCGGTGACCAGTCTAAACTAGCCGCGCGGTTCGGTTCTGCTCTCTCGCAGGGCTGAACAGTCGGAACCGGACCCGGAAGACCGGGGGACCGGAGGACCGGGGCATGTCTCGGAGGCGGCTGGACAGCCGCAGCGGGCTGCTGGCCGCCGGGCTGCTGGCGGAGCCCCAGACCCCGATCAGCGCCGAGCCGCTGGAGGTCGGATATGACGTAACCGGAGAGCTGGGCAGGTGAGCGGCTCCTTTCCGACCCGGTCCGGTTCAACCGGGCTGGACCGGGACCTCATGTTGAGAGTTTCGGTTCTTCGGTAAAGCCTTTGGCTCCTGATCTGATCTGAAAGGAAAAAGTCAATTATTCAGACCGGAAATGATTTATTAAAGTTTTATGACAGAAACAAGAATCGCAGCAGAACCTTTTCATTCATATTTCAGTTTAGGTACAGCAGCATTTACTGATGTACATTATGGTCTGTTTTAGTGTGTGATTGGTCAAACCTTTATTTAAACATTAACATGTTTTCTCAGTTTTTACGGTAATTTCTGTATTTGTGAAGCGATTTGTCATTTGGGTCTCTGGTTCTGGTCCGGCAGGTTTTTAATCCAGACTAAATATCACTAATATATATTTGATGTTTCTATAAACCCAGTGCGGTCCGACCCGGTCCAGGTTCTCCTGGTTTATCCAACTGGACCATCAGGAGGATCCAGATTCTTGTTTCATGTTTTTTTCTGATCAGGTTCTGATCAGGTGTCAGTCAGTCAGTCAGCCACCTGACTGACTGACTGACTGACTGACTGACTGACTGACTGACTGACTGCCTGCCTGCT